CTCCCCCATAGCCCCCCCACCAGATTTCATGCATTCTATCATATATGTTAAGGCCCATTGAGTCAAGTTAGTGTTCCCAGATGTCCCTCAGTTCAAGTTCATCCACACGGGTCTAGTCAACCTCGTCTCTCCTTTAAAGATCAGCTTTCCCTTACCCAGCAATAATCAGCTGCCAATAGTTCTTTGGCTAAGGTTGGGTCCTGCTGCCCATTTCCCCAGTTCTATGCTGAGTTTTTATCTGCTTGAGTTTGCATGGGTCTTAGGTATGCTGACAGCATTGCTGTAGGTTCATATGAGCAAGGTCCCAGGAGCCTGTTAAGACTGTTTCCATGAGGCTGGAGAGGTGGCCCAGCAGTTAAGAATACTGGTTGTTCTTACAGAAGACCCAGGTTCGAATCCCAGCACCCACATGGCAGCTAACAACTGTCTGTAACTCCAGTCCCAGGGGATCCAACAGCCTCTTCTGACTTCTGTGAGCATTGCACGACATGGGTGCCACACACACACACACACACAAAAAAAAATCAACAATTTTTTTTAATGTATTATGTTTGAGAAGGAAGCATGGAAATTTATGCCATGCTAATTAGTAGAGGTGATAAACATTACGCACACACAAAAAAAAAAATCAACAATTTTTTTAAATGTATTATGTTTGAGAAGGAAGCACGGAAATTTATGCCATGCTAATTAGTAGAGGTGATAAACATTACCACTGAAATCTGCCCGATGACTTTATAGCCATACACCGGCGCCAAGGATCCAAGTGCAACTGATTATGACTAGTAATAATCAGATACATAGAGATTAGAGATGCATGCGGACAAGTAGTGGGGAATGGCTGGGGTTGCCAACAACACAGCAGACAGTAGCAGGGATATCAAAGTTTAAGGGCTCTAGTGGGGGGAGGGAGGCTATGGGAGGGTGCTACCTGGGAAGTGGGTCTATAAAAAGTAATTCTTCAAAGCATAAAACTTTGCCTCCTAATAATTAGTAGACATGAAAAACATTAACATTGAAATCTACACGACGATTTTATATCCATGCTCAGATGCCAAGGAGCTCAAAAAGTAACCAACTGTGACTAGTAATAATCACATATATAGAGATTAGAAACACATGTGCAAACATCCTAATGTCAATTGCATTAAAAATTAATTTTTCTGTTTGAAACTGTGCATTTTAATAATGAAATGGAGATCTTTTTTAAAGGTTAAAACCTCATTTAATGTTATGTCTTATGGGGTTTATACTGAGTACAATATTGTATAACTGTAATAATTCAACTGTAAACCCAACAATTTACAACCAATTTTGAAAGAGCTTCATCTTAGCTCAGGAAATTGTCATTGAATATGTCAGTGCTGTATTACAATAGCATGAAACATGAAATGCTTCTTCTAAGTATGTGGTTATTAAATAAATAATTTTTAAAAATTTAAAATATAGTGAATAAAATTAAAAGAAAAAGACTTTCCATATGGCCATGCACCTCCACCATGGCTCTTACAGTCTTTCCACCCCCTCTTCCACAATGGTCCCTGAGACCTGGGTGGGTGAAGTTTGATATGGGAGTCCTGTCCAGGGACCCACACTCTGCCAAATCTTATTCTCTATGCTTTGACCATTTGTGGCCTTTGGGTAGCACAATATATTAACAAGAGAATTAGCCTGAAGACACAAGAGACTTTGATATCCGAATGACTTTAGCCAAACTATTGAATGTCAGCCCTCATTTTCTCAGATTAGAAAATAAAAACCAAAAACTTGAAGGCCATTTATGTTTGTTACTTTTCTCCTTGCTGTTCTGAATAGCTGACAAGTAGACACTCAAGGGAGGCTCACAGTTTGAGGGGAAAGAGTCCATCATGGAAGGGAAGGCCTGGTGGTGGGAGTGTGAGATAGGGGCTAGTTACAGTGTGTCACAGTCAGGAAGCAGAGAGGAGAATTCTGGTGCTCATCAGCTTCTTTCCCTTCCCCTTTTGACTTGTTCTGGGCTCTCAGTCCCTGTGATGGTGCTGTCCACATTCAGGGTGGCTCTTTTCCCCTCAGTTAAAACTCTCTGAAACTCCTTCAGGCATACCCAAGTGTGGTTCTGGGTGATTCTAAATCCACTCAAGTTGACAGTGATGACAAATCATCTCATCAATGTAATTCTGAACTGCATCAAATGCAAATGAAACTAAATTCTTAGAAGAGACACTAGTAATTGTATGCATTTATGAAGAATGAAATAAATATTAGTATACAAGGAAAATATTTATTACTTACATGTTTAGTTACTGATAGGTAATTAGCATTGCTTAGTACTCATTTTTTACTAGTTACTCCACTGAATATCAACCCACACACTTTGAGATGAAGTGCTGTTGTGAAAATATTCCACTTTATATTTACATTGAAGATTAGTCATCAACCCTGGCTTTCCTTTCCAAGTGTATCCTTCATGATGTATCAATCAGAATATTATCATCAATTATTTTTCTAGGGACTTGGGAGATGATAGCTCAGTGGTAAGAGTGCTTTCTCTGCAAGAATGAGGAACTTGCATTTGAATCTCTAATACCCCCACAAAAAGTAAGGCATGGGGGGTAGAAGCAGGCATATCCTGAAAACTTGCTGGCCAGCCAGCTTAGTAGAAAAGATGTGTTCCAGTTCAGTAAGAGACTCTATCTCAAGAAACTAAGACAGAAAATGATAGGGAAGATACCTGATGTCTTGCTCTGGGCCTTCAAATGTACACACATAGCTGCACAGACCTGCACGCTCATGTACACTCACATACACACAAACTTTTTAGGCTAATCAATATCAAAGATATTTGTGTGTATTTCAGTGACTCTAAGCCGTATTGATCTCAGATGGGCCACTATTGTGTGTCCTATCAAGACAGAAAAAAAAAAATGACATGTTTTGTCCACCTAAAGAAGTCTCTTGTACATCTGCAAAGCCTAGTACCTGCTCAAATCACCATCTTACAGAAAATAGATCCCTCTCTCCACATCCTCGCAGCTTGAAACAGGTTTGTTTACTTCTTGGTTCATTCTTGATCTGGTATGTAGGTTCCACAGGAGCAAGAACTTGCTTGTCTCCTTTGATAACTTCTCTCCAGGCTCTAAAACAAGGCCTGGTACTATGTAGACCAGGCTGACCTTGATCTCACAGAGATCCACCTACCTCTACTTCCCAAGTGCTGTGATTAAAGGCATGCGTCACCACTCCTGTTATGTTTTAATTTTATTACAAGTTATTTTTTCTTCCTGCCTCCCTAGCCACGATGTATCCATTTGTCTTGAGTAAATGAGAAGATAAACAAAGCCACACCTTGCCTCTGGCTCCAGGCATCCCACGGGCCCTGCACTGTGCTTTTCAGATCAATTTTCTTTCAGGGATTAACCAGTCTTAGCTAGACTTCATTTCTGAATAAGCTATTAAAATATCAGTTCATGTGACTGGCTCCATCTTGCTTGCTAGAAAATGGGCTGCTTGACATCAGTGCTAATTTTGAAGAAACTGGCAAAGAAATTTAGTGACTTCAAGGGATATTTGATACCACAATTGAACACCTTCCCCAAAGTAGGTCACAATCATAATAACTGTCCTATACATGAAAAGTTTATCTTGTTCCAGATACTGAGCCAACAATTCCTTTATCAGTTGGGTTATGGAGAAGAGAGAGCAGATTCCTGTCCCTGGAACCTAATCTGAAAAAAAAGTGTGTATGCTGATAGTATTAGTTACTTTTTCCATTGTGTGTGACCAAATACCTAACATAAACAACATAAGGGGTGAAACACTGATTTAGAATCATGGTTTCAGAGGGTTAAGTCTAAGGACATTTGGCCCTGGGCTTCTGGACCTACTATGAGGCAGAATATCATGGCAACAGGGCTGTATAGCAAAAGCTGTTCTCAGTACGGTGGACAGGAAGCAGAGAAAGAGACAGGCAGGGGGCAGGGACAAGACACCTCATAGGACAAGACCTTATTGACCTCTTCCTCCAGCTAGGCCCTAGGCCCTGCTTGTTAAGGATTCTACAACCTCCCAAATTAGTGCCACCAGCTGTGGACCAGCAAACAACACGAGTCTGTGAGAGATATTTCATGTTCAAACCATAATAGCAGATGTGATTGTGTTAAACATCTTGAGATGGGCAAATTATTCTCCATGATAAGGCTGGTCCCTAAATGCAATCATAAGTGTCCTAATGAGAGGAAGTCAGAGGAAAACATGACACAGGTAGAAGAAGAAGAGGCAACTGGGCAACAAAGGCGTAAGCTGGGATGTCAGCAGTCAGTGGAAGTCAGAAGAGGCACGGAAAGGAGTATTTCCAGGAAATCCAACTTCTTCTAGCCTCCATGTACACCAGAACACGTGGCACACATACAGACAAGAACATGCACATACAAAATAAAAATAAATGAATCAGATTAAGAGCACTGACTGCTCTTGGCAGAGCACACAGTTTTGTTTCCCAGCACTCACATGACTGCTAACAACCACCCAAACTTCCAGTTCCAGGGCATCTGGTGCCCTCTTCTGGCCTCAGTGGACATTGCACACATTGGTACACCTACATACATGCAAGCAAAACATTCATACATATAAAATAAAAGTAAATAAATAAATTTTTTAAAATATAAATTGCTTAATGGTCAATGTGTAGAGAATAAGAGACTGCAGAGTGCTCAGCCCTTATTGGGAGACCTATATCGCACTCCTCCTGCCAAAGGAACATCTCTGAAGAGGGGGCAAAAATATTATAAGAATGAAAGGTGGTGGATGAATACAACAAAACAGCATTTTCTAGACACAACAGGGCGGTTCCACATATGAACCCATAGCAGTTGTTCCAGTATGCACAAGACCTACCCAAGTCCAAGCTAGACAAAAACCCAGGATGAAGGGGAGAGGTGGGCGAGAAGCCCCAGCCCTAGCTGAGGAAGCCTTGACAATTGATAACAGCCAGGAGAGGGAGAGCCAGTTTTTTTAAGGGTATAATGCCGGGTAGGTTGACCATGCTCCAGGGGAACACAAATTGGAGTCAAAAGGCCATGAAAAACTAGAGAGAGAAGACAGGAAGTGGGGGGAATAGGAGGGTGGATCTGAGAAGATATGGGGGAAGGGGTTTGAATATAATCAAAATAATTGTACAATATTCTTTAAAAATCAATAAAAAGATTATTTTAAAAAGATGTGTAATGAGTATTTCTACACAGTATGTATATGCTTTAGGAGTTGCAAGGATTTATTGGGGGACCAGTTGATTGACAGAATAATGAGCACACTATGTTGATGTGGCTCTGTCTGGAAGAGTGCTACAAGTACATGCAAAGTCATAAATATTGAGGAATGAGTCTATTTTCTTGGAGGCAAGATGCACAATGATTAAGAGTTTAAACTGTGGAATGAAACTGTGTCAAATGCTGCCTTCATTATATATTAGCTATATGAATACTTTAGCAAACTACCTAATATCTCTTTGCTTTCATTTTTTTTTTCCTCTGCAGAGGACTAGAAATGATACCTGCCTTATGTAGCGTATGATGAAGTTTAAGTGACATTATTCTTTTGATATGGAAGAGGGTATCCTGAAGGTCCGCATAGGGACTGGCGTTACAGCTCAGTGGTATGTGCTTGCTTAGCCCGCGTTCAATCTCCAAGCAGTAGGGAAGGAAAAAGAAAAGGGTGTTGAGTGGTTCACATGTAAAGGTTTGATCTCAGGGTGATCCTGTTAAAAAGGGCAGAAACCTTACAGGGTTGGGCTTTTTTCCAGTCTCTAGGTCACTAGGATCATGCACTCAAAGTGGGGGAGGGTGTGTGTGTGTGACAGGATCCCACCTTATCTCTTTTTTTCTTTCTGCTTCCTGCCTTGAGATGGGATCATTCACTCTATCACATGATCCCTTCCATGTTGTGTGTGCTTGCTAGAAGCCTAAATCAATAGACTACATAATTTTAGACTCAATCACTACATGCCAACAGAAACCTCTCTACTCCACAGTTTTCCTGTGTCAGGTATTTTGCCATAGTGACAGGAAGCTGACTAATACAATTATTAATTTAACATGACATCTGGTTCACAAAAAAAGCATACATAAAATATTTGCTAATATTTCTATAGTGATTGTCTCAAAAAAAATCATTGTTCTTAACAGGTAAAATTTTTTCTGCCTGGAACTACATCAATGAAGTGTAGACAAAGAGGCAGAACCACATCAAAGAGTAAGGAACACTATAAACCTAAGAGAAATAAGAGTTTTAAGAAACTTTAAGAAAGGTTTCACAGAATGTGCACACCATGCTGTTATAACAGTGTTTGCTTTAAGCTTAGGGTGGGGAGATGCAAGCACATGAACACACATGAGCACATAGGCTGATGGGATAGTGGAGCAAGTACATATGTGCAGTGAAAATAAAGGTCTTGGGGTTAATTTGCCCTCAGTTGAAGTATGCATTGCTCAGATTAAAGCCATCTATGAAATAATTCTCTACACAGTATTCAAACTTGACCACAAAGCCTTTCTTCATTTGAAAGTTATTATATAAATTTGATAAAGAACAGAGCCGTTTGGTCTGAAGCTATTTCTCCCTTTGTGGTCTCACCATCCTTCATCTGCTGAACCTAAGAAATGGTGCAGAAATCACAGATCCCTCTGTGCTCGACATCCACATGCCCTCAGCCTTCTAGCTGCTTCTACCAGGGCTCTCCAGGAACCAGTGATTATATCTGTATCTATATCTATATCCATATCTATATCATCTATATCTATATCATCTACATCTATCTCTATCTATATCATCTGCCTTCCTCCTTTCCTTCCTTGATTCCTTCCTTCCTTCTTTCCTTCCTTTCTTTTTCTTGAGCCTAAGCCTAAGGAAATCATGTTCAGGTTTCAGTTTCAGGACCACCTATTCTACCAAGTTCCTCTACCTAGGGAATCGCCATCTCTTGCGGGCTTATGATTATATTTTACTAAAGCAGACAGATTTGGGATCATCTCTGGTTTTCTGCACTTCTGCCCTTCCTCTGCTGAGCTTATGATTAGTCATGGGCTACCCACGTGGGTGAATGGAACGGCAGGGGAAAATCATCAAGCGCTCTAACGCAGAAGTTTTCTATATATTGTTTGTTTGTTAGGCAAGAATTTGATTTCTCTCTATTTTCCCCATTACACTGTTTGCATCGTAACTGGGTAATTCCTAGAGTAAATAAGGAGAGAGAGAGAGAGAGAGACTGTGAAGTCTTCACAGAACACAAAATGTACTGTGAAAACCAGTGTTCAAATTTTTGACATGATATTTTAATCATCTGGAATATAGGCCTTCTTCCCTTAATCTCCCAAGTTCCTACATGTTCCCATCACAACTCTTCCAATGGTACTGTGTAATACCACCTTATACTTCATCTAACACTTCTACCAGCTCTTTGTACACTCAAATCACTCTCTGTCTACATTTTCCTGGATCACTGATTGCTGGGACTTGGTTGATGGAATACTGCTAGAAAATTGGAAGCCAACTTTAAATTCTAGCTCTGAGCTTTACCATCCTGTTGAATTTGACCAAATGACTTAACACTGTGCCATAATCATAGAGCCACATCAGCAATCACTGGGTAGATGTTTGAGATAACTCATGTCATGATAATGCATGTGGGATATGCAGAGCAGTGTCTTGCACAAAGTACTTGTCAATAATCATCAGTTTTTTTCTGTTGTTTTTGCTGTTATTATTATTACTATTACCTGTCAGGCACAATATACTCAAAAGAAACAAAATACGTGAGCCACCAGGAGTCTCCAGTTGGGAGGAATAAGGAAAAGATTAGGTAGAAAGTGTGTAGGGGCCTAAAAGATTCTTGGTTACTTCATTAACTAAGTCTCAACTTTTATTATCAAGTTTATCATGGTGCCTGGCTCTTGTTAGAAAAATTTCATTGGATGGATGAATCCAATTTACCCTCTTGCTGTCTATATAACCTCTTTGTCAGCAAACAACTTTTTCTGTTAACCTATTAAATGACCATCAAAAAAGCCTAAGTTTCTCCCTGGAGGGGCTTGCTTGGAGAAAACTTTGTTTGCACTCTCCCTGGGGCAGCATTTCCCAAGCAATTTTGGGAAATTCTAGAAGAGTGCTAGAGGAATGATAACTCGCAGCCCAGCATGGTCTGCAGGGACTCCAGGGGCTAACACCTTGTACAAACGATATATATTTCCATGCGTTTCAGCACACAGCCTACCAATGTCACTCCTTACAAGCTGCATAATGCCACATAAATGATTGATGATGACAGTGATGATCAGAGGCAGCAGAAACTGGAGCGATGATTTGTTTCTATCAAAGACCCCAAACTGATCACTAAGTAGCTTCATTACTTCAGCCTCACAAGCAGGAAGCAAGATTCTTGTCGTTTGGTTTCACTGTCCAGTGCTGCTTCAGTAGAGTGTGGTCAGAACAGATGGCTGAGATCTGAAATTTCATGAGTCTGGGGTCCCCTGGGGCTTCCTTGAATCCGAGGGCTCTTGCCTTAGCACTATGGATATGACCTTCATTTATGTAGTTTCTTCCCTCTGTGGACTAGTTTAGAGTTCTGTGATAAGTTCTGCTTCTTTAATGTGCTGTTCAAATTTCTGCTTCTTCTAAAACAATACCCTATAGCATTAGTGTAAATATGAACATCTTCTGTATGCTATTGCAGAACTAATGTGATTGAATACCGCGTCACAAGCTTCCTCTACCACCAAACATCTCAAAGATAGTTCCTCAGCATGAAGGCAGGACTATGCCTTGACTGTGCTCCCCAAAGCTCGTGTGTTGCAGTCTTTGTACCCTATGCTACAGTGCTCAGACTTTGGAGTTTTAAGAGGTTAGTATGTCATGAGGGTACTCAATAACTAATCAAGTAACTAATTCCATCATGTTGAGTTATCCTTACAAAGAATGAATCTGAATGCTCACTTTCTCTATATTTGATTTCTTCGCCTCAATGTAATCACCAGATGTGGCTCTTCAGTCTTTATAACCATGAGACAAATAAATTTCTACTATTTTTAAATTACCCAATGTGTGTTATTCTGTTATATCAGCAGAAAACAGTCGTATATGGGAGATAGTAAGATAGTTCACTTTTAATGAATGCCTAAATATTAGTATGCTGGCATCAATGGATTACATTTTTAAAATATAATCTAAATAGATAATTAAAATATAATTTAAGCATTTTGATCATTTTCAGCCCCTATCCCTAATAAAATAGTGAATAAAATAGGAATGTAAGGATATCTTCTCACAGTGATAATGTGTAGTTTAAATTGAGAATGACATTAAATTAATGGTAAAGTTTTATAAATAGTCTTGTGAAAATCTAGAATTAAAAAACCCAAAAAGCCCAGTACTACAATTATTATTTGATATTTTCAGTAATTTTGGACAATTAAAAGACAGAACTTAGACACAGATGTATAGAAAAGAAAAAGATAAATTTATTGCTCCTTATAAACATAGAAAAAGAATCACCTGAAATATAAAAATTTTAAATATTCAATGAAGTAATTGCAAGCGAGGTGAATATAAATGAATATTAATTAATAGTGGGGGCTGGAGAGATGGCTCAGCAGTTAAGAACACTGGTTGTTCTTGCAGAAGACCCGGGTTAGTTCCAGGAGCTCCGACAGCCTCTTTCAGGAGCCAGACAGCCTCTTCTGTCTTCCGTGGGCATTGCACAACACGGGTGCACTTCCTACATGCAGGCACTACACGCATGCACTAAAAATAATAAATAAAATAAAAAATAAATAAAATAAGTTAATTGTGCTTATGTATGAGCAATGTACAATTAAATAGTAATTTAGAAAAGCATGCACTTAAGATATTTATAGAGAGGTGTAATAATATTCTTGGGTACACAATCTTAATAAAATTGTAACATACTTTAAAAAGGCAAAACACTGAGCATTATAGAGATAAGAATAGATGAATCAACGTAAAGGAAGACACTGCCTCTG